CTAGGCATGCAGCACACCCCTATGCTAGGCATGCAGCACACCCCTATTCTGGAGATCAGATCAAATTTATCTGTGCCTCCCTCTACCCTGACTCTTTCCTGCTCTCATTTAATTCCTAATATTTTGAGCTAAGATGCCTGATTCATCTTCATTTATTTGGTCCCTTTTTGTGTGAATGTAGATCTTACTGTTGTGTAATATTTTGTTTCTGTTTTGACAAATAAAGCTTGCTTGGAGTCAGAGTGCAGAGCTACCCACTAGTTAACCATAGAGCTCTGGAAGACTATACAGAGCAACAAGGAGTGATAACAGATGAAGCATCAATCTAATTAATCTTCATCAATAAAAGTCAGGAGTCAGATATTGGGATAAAAATCTGGTCAATCAGAGAACAGGAGGTAGCTACCAGTTGCTTCCTACCTTATAAGTGCAGACTGGGCTACATTTCCCAACTGCCCAAACCTGAATAATCACACAGAAACTATATTAACTACAACACTCTTTGACCAATGGCTCTAGCATATTCCTAGCTAGCTCTTATATCTTAAATGAACCTATTTCCATGAATCTATGTATTACCACAAGGTTGTGGCCTACCGGCAAGCTTCCAACATCTTTCTCCTTTGGCAGTTACATGGCATTTCTCTGACTCCACCTTCTTCTCCCTGCATTCAGTTTAGTCCCCTCCCCATCCCACTTAGCTCTATTCTGCCCTGCCATAGCCAAAGCAGCTTTTTTTATTAACCAATGGTAATAAAACATATTCACAGCATACAGAGGGGAATCACACATCATCGTCCTTTTTTATCTAAATAAAAAGAAAGGTTTTAACTTCTTTTTACTTTAACATAGTAAAATTACATATAAGAAAACAGGTATCAAGCAAGAATTACAGTTACAATATTTAGTCTATCTGTATCTAAATTTTTATATATAACATCTTTGATCATAACTAAGGAAAACTATAACTGTAACTGTCTTCAGCTCCATCAAAGACCCCAGGACGATATAATATTACCTAAGTAAGTAGGAAGTACATTGTAAGCAATTTCCAAAACTCAAGAATTGACAGAGAAATCTCACTGACTAGACAGTCACCCAAAGTTGTTTGTAACATTGGGGCATCCATCTTCAGCTTACAAGCCCATAGTATCCAGCAGACTTTTCCATGAAGCAGGAAATTTGAAAGACTGTTTTGCCTATATTGGCAGTCAATCACTTTCTTATGTGTCCAGCAGAATGTCTGGTAGACTCTTTCATGAAGCAGGAACCCTGAAGTATGCCTCACCTTCTTTTGGCAAGTTCAGCAGTCATTTTTCTGTGGGTTCTGCATGTCCAGTTCATAAAGTGTACCATCAAGCAGTCCAGGCAAGAACAGTTTCTTGCCCAAATGGCTAACAAATTCTATAAAGAACCTCTTTGATGCTCATTTTCCTCTTGAAGTATTGGTCCTGCCAGAAGCAGACAAGTCTCACTGTCAAGAAAAGTCTAAGCTTTTAAAACGTTTTTAATGCCCATACTCTGCAGGTCTTGAAGTGTTGAAGATTATCTATCTGAAATATATCTCTGTATATCTAGGAAACCTAACTAACATGACTACAAGTTTAACCATTATAAATAACTAGCAATCTGCAATTTTTAAATATACATCACATTTTAAAATAGGCTGTATAAGCATAAAACGTTAAACAAGAGTAGAAATATACATATAACAAAATTAACCTTAAATTGTATCAATAAACCAAAACCCATACCAAAGTAAAGTATTCATTTCTATATCATATCTCCTTTTTATTTTTTAGAAAGAGATTGTGACCATTAACTACTCATAACCAAACCCCCTTAAATAAAAAACAAACATTTATAAATAATCATTTTGAAAATTTGGGCATTGTTTTCTCCAAACTACTTCCTGTCGTCTGTTGGGCAAAGTATTTTTAAGGGTTCACAGAGACCTTTCAGGAGCCTTGTTCCGTTAAACCACATTATCCTAGAAGGAATTCACAGGATCTCATCTTCTGTGGAAACAAAACCAGAACCTCTTTTCCAATGTAAAATATCAGGTTCAATTTTTGAACATACCTTTAAAACATATATGTTGGTTTAGATTAGCAGCCTGTACAATGAAATGTCTCTCTGTAGTTAGTTCATTTGCAGTCAAAAGAAAACACAGTAGTATATGCAATCCAGACTCTCTGTGTATTTTACAACTTGAGTGGTTTTTTTCTATTACTTTTTAATATTTATTTTCTTTACCCCTTTAATTTATGCCATCTGTATTCTTTTATATTACTTTTACTGTCTCTTTAAAGATTTTTTTTATTTTTAAAAACCATTTACTTCTTTTTGTAACTGCCTGTACTCTTTTTTTCCCTCTCTCTCCCAAGCCTATTACATTTTTTAAACATACTGTGTTTCACTTAGAGGTCTTTTATGTCTGAATCTGTCTTACTGTGTATCTGAAATCCTATTCTGACAAGGAACATTTTAAAACAGTAAACAATGTAGTTGTGGCAGCCCTGAATGCTGACTCCACCTCTCTTGGCCTTTCAATATGGTGGAGGTGTGTTTACCACCAGCTCTGGGTTAGCTGGGTGGGAGCTGTGCTCCTCACCTCAACTTCGGGAAGAACCGTGAAGTTTTTTTGTTTGTTTGTTTGTTTTTCTGAGTAAAAGCTAAACCTACCGTGCAGCACATTGTGCAGCCTGGAAATATTTCTGTGTATGTTGGCAGAAACCCACAATGCTCTCCTGCCTGTGCATGCCTAGCAGACCTGATCCCACCACTTGCCCAGGTGGGGAGTGCTGAGTCTCAGGTAAGCTCTCAACTTCATTTTTCCTGACCCAGAGTGGGCATACAAGTACCCTTGACCATAAGTGTGTGGCAGGTCACACAAGATAGCCCCGAACGGTTGGGTGCCATTGTGTAAACAGAGACTGTGCTTACGTTTCCCAGCTGCACAAACATTAATAATAACACAGAAAATATATTAATTATAACACTGTTTGGCCAATGGCTCATGTATATTCCTAGATAACTCTTATATCTTAAATTAATTCATTTTCATTAATCTGTGTATCACCATGAGCATGTGGCCTACAGGTAAGGTTCCAGTGTCTTTCTCCTTTGGCAGCTACATGGCGTTTCCCTGACTCTGCCTTCTTCTTTCTTCCTGCATTCAGTTTAGTTTTTCTGCTTGGCTCTATTCTGCCCTGCCATAGGCCAAAGCAGCTTCTTCATTAACCAATGGTAATAAAACATATTCACAGCATGCAGAGGTGAATACCATATCACTACCTCCTCAGTTTCTTAGTTCAAAAGGGCCCAGAGCCAGTCTCTGCCCTGTCTTACTCTTCCTGTCTCTGTACAGTCCTCCAGATCTCTATGTTAACTAGGGGCTAGCTCTGTCCTTTGACTCCAAGCAAGCTTTATTTGTCAGAACACAAACAAGATATCACACAACATCTTATGACCTTTTTTTTTTTGAGTAGGTGACTTTCTCTGCTTTACAACTATATCTGTCTTCTCTGATTGACAATATTACTGTAGTTTTACTGAAATTTCTTAAAATTTAGATTGTTCCCTCCATCAACCTAGCAGTACACAAGAGACATTTAAAAGTTTTCAGATAGGAAAAATCTTTTGTTTTTTATTTAATTTACTTCTGTTTTTATTATATTATAATCAGAATGATCTAGTCCTTAAAACAATTAAAGACAAAGAGGCCATGAATACAAAAAAGGGCAAGAGGAAAGTACATGAGAAAGTTTAGTGGGAGGAAAAAGAAGGGGAAAATGATATAATTATAATCTCAAAAATACTTTAAATTATTGATATTCCTTTGTCTCTTTTTAAGCTTTTTAAAATTCTTTGACAGTTTCATCCATGGATGCAAGATATTTTGCTCTTATCGACTCTTAATTCCCAGTCCCCAGGCTTCTTTGTTTATTTGTTTTCTTTAAAAAATGCATGAAGTTACTTTGTGGTTTTGAAAAAAATTATTGGGGTTCCTTTGTAACCTACCATGTGATCAATTTTTAAAATAAATGTCTTATGGAAATTCATGAGGAGTAAATGATATTTTGCCAGGGTGTATAATAAGTGTATCTCAGTGCAATCTGACCTGTTTAGTTGTGTGGCCCAAGTACACTAGGGTTTATCTTCCTGTCCCCTGGCCCTGTTCAGGCCTGAACCATGGCTGTCCCCTGTTCCTGCTGCTGCTGCTGGCTCTGCTTGATTTCTCAGCTGTGTGTGCTCTTCCTCCCCTGTTACGGATGCTGAGTCAGCTGTGTGCAGGACTAAGAATCCTCACAGCATTCCCAGGAGCCTCATTCTTACACAGGAGAGGACACCCTTCTTGCTAAGTATGGTGGAACACATGTGTAATTCCAGGTCGGAGCAGAAGGATCAGGGGTTCAAGGTCATCCTGGGTATCTATTAAGTTTGAGGCCTGTTGCACAAGGAGCATGGCCTTTTGTTTGTCCTGGTCGCCCAACTAGCTTACACCGGAAATAATCACACAGAAACTGTATTAATTAAAACACTGCTTGGCCATTAGCTCTGACCTCCTATTTGCTAACTCTCACATCTTGATTTAACCCATTTCTATTAATCTGTGTTCACCACAAGGTTGTGGCTTACTGGGAAAGATTTAGCATGTCTGACCTGGTGTCTCCATGGTGGCTCTCTGACTCTGTTTTTTTCCTCCCAGAATTCAGTTCTGTCTCCCCACCTACCTAAGTTCTGCCCTATCACCAGGCCCAACAGCAGTTTCTTTATTAACTCATGAAAGTAACACAAATACGGAAGGGAATTCCTATACCAGAGGCCAGTTTGGGCTATGGTAGACCTGGTTTCTTAGAAACAAACAACTAACAAACAAATAATAGATAAAGGATAAAAAGAACAGAAGGTCTCCTTCTCTGCCTCCATTACGCTGCTTTTCTGAATTCTGTCATATCAGACATCGAGTGTTCAGCCTCCAGTCCCTTCACACTCACAGTCTGGGATGCCTGTGAATGTCTTGTATATTGGCTTCTCTGGCCATTAGGGCCTTATGCATCTACAGAGTCCAGGGCTGGCTTTGCTGTGTGGGCTGGCGATCTTTCTCACTTGTGCCTCCTTTACTATGACACCATTTGTTCTTGTTCTGAGATGTTACTGTGTGGTAGACTTTGCTTCTTTGTTCTGTTCTAAGGTTTTGCTTGCTTATTTGTTTGAGACAGGGCCTCACTATCTGGTCCTGGCTGGTCTCAAAATCACAGAGATCTGCCTGCCTCTGCCTCTAGAGTGTTGGGATAAAAAGTGTGCACTCCCATAACCAGCCTTGCTTTGTTGTTTCCGAAGTCCTCTGCTATGTGGTCAATTCTATTTGCATTTATTCTCCCAATATATAAGAAAATTTGTACCATGTGCTCATCAGAATTCCTCTAATTACAACTTTATGTGGCATCTTTAGCACTTACTCCTATAATCTTCCTTCCCTTTGTGATTGATGACACGGTTTATGCCTCTCTCTCCTTCCTTCCTCTGTCTTTCTTTTACACCACCAGATTTTAATCTGTCACATTAGTATATTTCCCAGGCATGTGTGTGTGTGTGTGTGTGTGTGTGTGTGGTGGGGGGTTCTTATATGTGTCCTGTTCTCACATCATTCCGATCTTTCTCTTTCCCCTCCAACTCCTTGGGTAACTCCTTCTCAAATTTATGACTTTTTCTTAATTCTTATTTTTACACACACACACACAGAAAGACAGACAGAGAGAGAGAGAGAGAGAGAGAGAGAGAGAGAGAGAGAGAGAGAGAATGCTGCGTTTATTTAGTATTTGTATGTGTGTGTGTGTGTGTGTGTGTGTGTGTGTGTGTGTGTGTAGGGTTGATTTGGGGTTGGATAGCCTATCAGGGGCTCGTCTCTGGAGAAGACTGATCCTTTCTCTCTTGGCAGCTCTTATTTGTCTGTAGTTCTTCATCTACAGGTAGGGTCCTGTGATATTTCTCCTGTCCTCGTTGGCATGTCAACTGGTATTATGCAGGTCTTATTTGACTGACCTTATTGTTGAGATTTCCTGGGTGCAGCTTCCCTGTTGTGTTCCGAAGACAATGTCTTACAACAGACCTCTGGGCCTCTGACTCTTATAAAGTTTCCACCCTCTCTTCCATGATGCTCCCTAAGCCTCAGGTGTGGGGTTGTGTTGAAGATGTATCATTTGGAGTATGACACCCTGCAGCCAGGCCAGGTGTTACCTGCATTTTGACCAGTTGTGAATTTTTATAAAGGTCTCTGTCTGCGGGGGAAAAAAAAAAGAAATTTCTTTGATGAGACACGAGAGCTACACTTATTTGTGGGTATACAGAGAAGTTTTTAAAATGAATCTAGCAATGATACTGGCTTAGCAAAGTGGCACTAGTGAAATCTCCTCTAGGGTCTATGACCTTACCAGTCACGGGTGTCAACTAGACTTACAGACCAACTGTGAATTCCCTCCTATGGAGTAGGCCTTACGTCCAATTATACAGTCATTTTAATTTAATTATTTAATTTACTTATGTGGGCATGGACATGAAACAGCATGCTTGCAGAAGTCAGAGGATAACTTGCAGGAAGTGGCTCTCTCCTTCACTGTGTGGGTCCCAGGGATCAAATTCAGGTCAACAGGCCCGACAACAAAGTGCCTTTACCCACTGAGCCATCCCCATGCACCCCCAAACCCACGTGTGTCTTCTGTGTATAATATGATTATCTGGTCCTATTGGGGTACATGTTCTGCATGGCAGAGGTTAGTCAAAGCTGGTGCTTCCTCTAAGTAGATCTAGAACATTCTGCTTTATGGTTGTCCCCATGCAGTAAAAGGCTAACTATTACTGTTAGTTAATAGTTAATCTCTGCTTTTACAGAGTGTGTTTGCTTCTCCAGGCCTGAAGGATCAACAACAGCCTGGGGAGGGCTCTGTTTATGGTTTAGCAGAGTTCAAGGCAGAAGTCAGTGTAGACACCTGATTAAGCCCAGTGTAGACAACCTGGCTACATGATTGAATTGATAAACAGAGACGGGGAGGTGTGGTGACAACCCAGGCTTCTGCCTTGTGCAAATTTAAGAGTGAGACGATGATCTAGTTCATCACGCTGGGTCCTATGGACATCTGCTTCCAAGTAGTCAGTGTTGTGGGTAAGTTTGGGGCTCAGGGGATGAGGAAAGAAACAAAGGTAAAGGTCGCCGGGTCTTGCTTGCTTTCTCTACTATTTCATAAACGCCTGCTATGGACCAGGCAGTATATAATTGTTAGATCAGATAAAATGGCCTCAGAGGAGCGCAGGTGGCAGAATTTACTTGCGAAGTCAAGTCGTTGTGATATCAAGCTCCAGCTGTCCCTCCTCTAGGTCTTCCCATATCAACAGGACGTTTGCTTCGTCGCATTTGTACCCGGTCATAGTTTGAAGAGGAGGGAAGCTACCCCATGGAATTTCCTAAGTGTTGTCACGTAAACTGCATTATTAGGAGCAAGGCGCGTTTCAATGTCTCATCTGAGACAGCGGGCGCCAGTGGCATCCTCGGCATCACCTTGACCCATTTGTGAATGGCCATCAAGATCGACATGATTGAGGCAGAAGACGTCAGAAATTTAGAAATGTGTCTTCAGATGAGGTCACCCCCTTCCCTTCCTTTTATAGAGGAAAAGGCAACTGGGCTGAAGTAGATCTAAAAAGAAATGTAAACATTAAAAGGAGACATGCTCAAGCAAGAGGGCACTTCTCTTTGAAGTACACTGTCTTCTCTGACTTCCCCAGTGACACCAGGGAGACTTGGGAGACAAGGACACCATGAAAAAGGTGACAATCCATTGGTTCCCAGAATTTGTACCCTTTCACTGTGTGTGCATATGGTGTGTGCATGTGTGAAAAATGGGCCAGAGAAGAGGAACACGAAAATAGTTTTAGATTCGCATCACCACAACATGTGGGAAGTGTTACCATAGATAATTCCACACTTTGTCTTTTAATATTTCATTTCCGCACACGAAGGAGCAAGCCAATGCCCTGTCTACTACCCGCCTGGTTTGGGAATGGAAGAATTATACTAGACGGTGTGATTAACTGAGTTAGAGGTGGGAACAGCTGAGAATGGGGCCTAGAATGCATGAGAATAAACTTTCTGGGACTGTGTGCCACCGTTATTTTTACATACAAAGTGCTATTGTAGGGCCAACGTTCAGAGAGATGCAGAGTAACACAGGTGCGTCCATCCTGCTTGAGAACCGGTCTGGATTGAAAGATGTCCAGAGGTTTAGTAAAGCAGACTTCCTGGTGTGTTTATGAAGCCAGTTCTAGAGATGATTGATATGTGGGCCAGCCAACGGGGTGGGAAGACCTGCCTGGCTGTAGGCACCACCACCAAATAAGCTCTAATAAAGGTTGGAGGGGAAGGAAGCCACAGCGCCTCCTAGTGAATGTGTCTGCCTTCGCCCCTGCAAACCTCAGCCTCCAGCTTCATCAGCCTTTCCAGGCAGACTGACACCAAGGACCCTTCCAGAGAACTTCAAGACCCTTAGCAGCAGACTGGGGTATATCATTGAACACCCCCATTCTGTAGCTTTCCAATTCTTAGACAAGGCAGCTGCTGGGGTCTCTCTCTTCCTGTGGACAAACACATTAGACTCCTGAACCCCCAATCTTGCCAGGCACTCAAATCGCCTCTTATAATTGCAGACACGCACCACACCCGTACTGCACAGCCCACTCCTGTCCTTACAGGCAAGTCTTTTCCTGTCTTCAGTGAATTGCCGAAGACCACTTGTCGAAGGATCAGAGTATGAACACCTGAGTGTTTAGCCCTTTAAGTGCTTTGGCGTCTACGTTATCTTCCCATGTCTTGCTTTGCTTTGACAAGCGTTATGAGACCAACAGCCAAATACAAATTATCATCGCGCTTTGGTCCTTCTCTGGGATGCTTTTGGGCAGTCACATAGTCCACTATGTATGGAGATGCTACTTTCAAGGGTTGCTAGCGATAGGCTCTGTGTATGTTCAGGTGCAGCTGCCTTCCCATCTCCATTTACTTCATCCCTGAGCAAATGACTGGACTGTACACACAGAGACTACACCAGCATCTGCCTCCATTAATGTAAATGTCACCGCTACAAGCAGGAGTAGCTGGGTGAGGAGTTGAACCAAAGCCAAATAGAATCAGTTAATCTGTTTCTTCAGCTGTCTCCCGATGTCTGCAACTCGAAGGAGGGACTGGAAAAGCATCTGTCAAGGTGTTTTTGATGGGATGGACCAGAGAAAGCAACTCATGTGAGCTTTAAAAACGTGATGCCGCAGTGCTGACACGCTTAGCTGAAAAGTCCAAACCTTAAGTCAGGTAAGAAGGACAGACCCAGCATGGTAATGACTTTGTCTCAGTTTGGGATGCTATTTGCTTTCTATTGTTAAGTAGCAAATTGACTAAAATACCCATGGCTCACCATACTAAACCCCTTCTGTTAGTTCACACCTACTGTGGGATAGGAATTTAGGGGAAATTAACTAGGGAATTATGGCTGCGAGTCTTACAGGAAGGGTTTCAGATGGGGGCTGGGGAAACAGCTCCATCCACAAAATACTCGGCTTACAAACTCAAGCACATGAGTTTGATCTCCAGAACTCATGTCTTGTTTTGTTTTGTTTAAAGGTAAGTATGATGACCTTCAGTTATAGTCCCAGCACCAGGTCTTTGGAGACTTGCAGCTCCCTGGGCCTCACTGGCCAGTCAGCCTAACCTACTCAGAGAGATCCAGGTCAGTGAGAAAGCCTGTCTACAAAAAGTCAAGAGGGTAGCTACTGAGGAATGACACCTGAATGTCCTCTGGAGTCTACACATGTGCGCGCACGCGTGCACACACACACACACACACACACACACACACACACACGTACACATGCATCTGTACCAACATACATACCCACCTGCACACACACAGGCATGCGTGTACACACAGTTAGTTCTGAGGCCACTGAAGGCTTGACTGAACCTGGAGAGTTTGCCTCTGCAGTGACATCATTCACACAACAGGTAGAGTGGTCTGACAGCAACTGGGCAGCTTCATCCTCCTTGGGCTTTGTTTCCAGATAGATAGCAGTTGGTTTTCCCCAAAGCAAAGGATGCAGAATTGAAAGAAAGAGAGGCAGTACTTCTAGTTTTGTGATCAAGGCTGAGAGGTTTGAGTTCATGACTTTTAGCCTTTCAAGAAGCCGGTTATCTGGGCCACCACATTTAAGAAGACAAGAGCAAGGTGCTCTCTTGGAAAGGAGCCCTATCAAAGGACAACAGATGTACAAGGAAACCACCAACCTTCAACAGCTCAGGTTCCATCATGGTCCCTGGTACCTCTCAGGTTCATATCTCACCAGAAAGTGCATGTACCTTCGGTGTATGATTGGACAGTTGAGAGCATGTGACCAGCCTCAAACCACATCCTCATGGCTAAATGGACATGGTTACTCTGATAATCTTAGGTCAGAGTCAGATACTCTCAAATCAAAATGGAGACAGCATCAGATTTCTGAGAAGTGTAAAGGCCACGTGGAGAAACCATGGGTGAAATTCCAGTCCTGCTATGTAGAGAATGGGACGTGAATTTTGAGTGGCCCAAATCAACCTCTGTTCTTGTACCTGTCTGTGTCCTTGCATACTTACACTTACGAGCATATTCATGATTTTGTGTGCATAAATACATGTGGGCACAGGAATGGCCTGAAAGTGTGCTGTGCTGATTAGTTTGTCAGGTAGGCTGTGTAACATAGTTCTGAACTATGTAGTTATAGATGTGTGATCTACAAATTCCCAAAATGACCAACTGCGTGTGCTTAATACACACTACACCTTTCAAGTGTAAGAAATAATCTTGTCTATTGTAATGGAGATGTGTGGCTTCCAATAAACAAAAGACATAGGCCTTGAGAGATCACACACATACACACAAACACAGACATGCACAGACACAGAGACCCATAGACACACACAGACACAGGCACACACAGACATGCACACACATACAGACACAGA